TGTTTCTCTGTCTGTCTATGCGGAAGTTATTTACGCGTCGTTCGTCAGAGATTTGAATTTTGGGACTTAGCACTAGCTATTTTACGTGCGGATCAATTGTCCTTCGGATTATCGATAACTTATTCAGGATTGTCAGTTGGGTTGCTTGAGCTTTGTCCGTCTGTTTTCCTGTCTGTCTATGCGTTCAGGCGTATAAAGGCTTCGATCTTGAGAACTATGAGCGCTAGAGTCTTGAGTTATTAATTTTCATTAAATTTATCGCCAATTTTTAAGCCCATGAAAAATTTCATAAATAAAATATTCGACAGTCAATACCCATTTATTGTATTATATGTCGAAGCTTAGACGGAAAATGTATATGTTTCTGTGCATCGATTAATTTTGATATTCAGTTTTTGATGATTATGTGTGTTGTAAGTGTGTATGTGTTTTAGAGTATGCATACATTTTTAAAGAAAGTTCGAAAGGCAGTTTAGATCAGCGTACATGGTATCTTCTAGACGCTTAATTGCTGCTTACTCTTTTCTTATCTTAATTCTATATTTGTTTATTTATAAGAAAACTATTATAATAATTTTCAAAATGCAGCTTAGCGCAGAATACAGGGTATCTTATAGTCGTTTAATTGCAGCTTAGTTTTATATAAATTTCTTATTTATTATGCTATGTTATATCTATATTTTATTTATTATAATAAATGTACTATAAGAAAGATCGAATCAGCGCAGGGTATAGGATATCTTCTAGTCGTTTAGTTGCTTAGCTAATAGCTTGGCAGCTTACTTTTATATTAGGGCTCGGCTTGTTTTGCTTATGATATTACTAAAGTAATCCTTTTTCAATATATTTCTAACTTTTTCATATTTTCCACCTTATGCTCTTATATTCTCTTTCTGTGCCTTGCACTTTATTGATAATTTCCCTTACCTTTGTTCATATTAAAACAATTTTTTATTTTCAATGCCTGCCTTTCGGCGCCTGCCCAATTACGATTTATTTACATTTTAGCATTTTGTTGTGTCGTTTTCCTGTTTGCATTCTCTTTTTCCTGGGTTATAAACTTTAATGTGCCATCGTAAAATGTAAGCACGACAGAGACCCAAGAACAAATAGCTAATGTGAGGAGGGGCTTAGCTCATGTGCGCTCATATGATGCCATAATCACAGCAATGACAATGCCAAAATGTTAATGTGTCTGCTGCGCCTCTAGAATGTGTGTGTGCGTGTGTGGTTTTTTATGGGCGGCTATAAATTAAAAAACAATTTGCGAACGGCCGCAAACTAATGAAGGCTTTAAGAAGAAGAAGGCGCATTTAAAATAATTTTCAAGCATTTAAATAGCAATTAAGGATGTGTGTCCTGCATTTTGGCAAATATAATCAAAAACAATAAAAACAAAATGTACATGAATTAACGCGAATTTGCGCTTTTTTAAATGCAAATCAGAAGCAGTCAACAACAATACAAACATTTACAAAAGCGCACAACAATTATAATAAATAACCACAAAAAATGCGAAATGATTTGCTTCGAAGGGCGGCCAGGCACAAAGAAAATTAATAATAAATCTCAAAATGCTCATTAACTTAATTACTGTGTTTATTTTCATTGCCCTTCCGTCCTAATGTCACGACGCTTTTCGATTTCACCACGAGTTTTTGGCAGTTTTTACTTTGTATACCCTTTCAGAGGGTATAACAGCTTGGCCGCAAAGTGTGTATAAAATATATGTATTTATTCCATTCACATATAATATATGTATATATTCTTGAGCAGTATCATCAACCGTGTAGATAGGAAAATCGTATTATCATCGGATATCGTGTTCTATATCATATATCTGCCTTAGAAATGTGGGTCAAAAGTTTAGCTGTTCGAGAAACGTTTTTGTTTTCCTTGATATTCTCATTAATTTGTTTATACCCAAAGCTTAGTATGTTCTTTATATATAAGCTTAAATAAGCATCTGGTAACTATTTAATATATAGACAAAAATAAGTCAAAAACTGTGGTTTTCCTTGAAGAACTTATCTTTTTTCAAGATATCTTCATTACGGCTCCGTATGTTCTAGGTCTTTTCAATAAATTTCATATTTACGAAGAATAAGTTCTTTTGAAAACTTATCTATTTTCAAGATATCTGCAACAAACCCCGGCATCAAATCGAACTATTTCATTAACTGGCTTCGCTAAAGGAAAGACTGTCGGAAATAAGGCAAATCTATATTGGGGCACTACTAAGTGGAGGGTATTTAATATTCGTCGTGCCGAAAGTAGCCACTCTTTCTTTTATTTTTTGTTTTTTTTGTTCTCCAGATTGTTCGAATGTTTTTGTTTGCTGCGTCACGCAATTTTTTCGTGGCTCCCCTTCAGACTTGGCAGCCCCAAAATTCTGATAAACAAGTTGGCCAAGAAAAAATAGCCCCAGAACATGAAAAAATTGCGCGTCTTTAACCTTAATGTGTATTTAAGTAATGTTAATTGTGTGCAGAGCTGCCAGCTGTCGCCAGTTGCTTCCATTCCGCAATTCCCTCTTTTCTTCCTTCCTCCTTTTTGCATTGTTGTTTTTACCTTTTGGCACATTTTTATGTAATTATGTTAATTTTTCTTTTCATACCTCGCAGCGTATCTAAAAATTGTGTTCTGTTCGGCAAATTTGTTATATAATTGCTGGCTGGCTGTTAATTGAATTTCAGGTGAGAAGCGCACAGCTAGCAATTAATACAATGCGACCCGAGGTTAGGTTACATTTCTTATTAATTGAATATAGTTCGTGCTTATTTTTTGTTGTGTCAAATTATATTCTCTTAATTCTGAATTTGGGAATTAAAGGTTTTTAAAATTGTCAATGAAGTGGATTAAGTCTAAGCAAATCAAAACATATTTTATTCAGAAAAATATATTACAAATATTATTACATTGCCAATTTTCCGAATTTTTTTAAAATGTTTAATAACATTATAAGGGTCAAAAATATTGTCATTAATACTTTTCTTTATTTATTTAAGCTTTATTAGCGTGGCCCTCAGCTTATTTATTCATAAAAAAACTTTATTAATAATATAATAATAATCTTACAATTTATTAATTATTTTTTTTTTTTTTATTTCTATTTCAAATTCAAGGCCTTCAGCTCGGTTATTAATAATAATATTCATATTTTATTATTAGTAATATTATTATAATCATTATTATTATTAGTATAAACATTAGTATTCTAAATATCATTATTATTATTGTTGTAAGCATAAATGTAAGTATTATTCTTATTATTATTTATATTATTATTATTCGTATTATTAATATTATTAAATTTATTTTTATTTTATTATTATTAACACTTTGTTGGACTTAGATAATGTATTCTATTTTCCTCTCTCAATCTCAGCTTTTGAGTTAAAACAGATTCGCTTAGAGAAATTCGAATTCATCATATTCATTACACATTTTTTCGAACTGGAAATTGATTCGTGTTCATTACTCGAATGTGAAATTTAATTTCTGTGAATAAAAAAGACGAGGATTTCCCAAATGAAGAACCTGCACGTAATTGCACATCAGAGTTGAATTTTTCATTCACTGTTTAAATCGCTTGATACCTCATGCGAGATAAAAAAAATCGATCACTTTGAGTATTTTCTGCTCTGCTCAATATTTTTTATTTTATTTTATTTATTTTCTCTTTTTGCACTTTTGCAATCAGGAAACAAGGCTTAATGCCCCACAGTAGTTTGACATTATTAAAATGCACATTATACGGGTCAGGCCGAGCCGTGTACGGGTATTCTGAGCTGGAAAAGCGCTTTAGTAAGCCATGCATGCATCTATGATGCATATTTACTACGCTTTAACCTTGAGATTTATATGTATTGCATGCAAAATCAACTGACAGATATTTGCACACAATATTATACATGGGTCGTAATACTCCACGCACACACACACACACTCGCGCACAGATACACATGGCCTCAAAAAATGCTCTATGAAAATGGACAAAAACGCGTTGGCTCCGAAGGGTAAACAAAAACATTGCACGTAACCCGCTCAGGTGGTTCAACTTCCGAACAGGTGGGGGCTGGTTGGTGGTTTTGTGGGCATTTGGAGTCTACTGTGCTTGCCAGCTGTTTTGGCATGTTTGAAAATTCCTGGAAACAAATGTAATAAAAACTACTCGTAATACACACACTCACACGCATACACACTCAAAGTACTCGAGTTTTTATTAGCTGCGGGCTTGAAGAGTTTTTGACTCTGTTGGTTTTTTATACCCTTCTAAGGGGTATTATAATGTTGCCGGGAAATGTGTAACGCATAGAAGGAGAAATCTGCGACCCAATAAAGTGTATAAATTGCAGGCCAGCATAAAAAGCCGAGTTCATAGAGCCATGTCCCTCTAAGCGTCCGTCTGTTTCCATGGGAACTAGTCTCTCAGCTGTAAAGCTATCCTCTTTCCGACATATGTCGGAACCAGCCAGATCAGAATACCATATCATACAGCTGGCATAGGGAGATTGATCTAAAAGTAGTTTCTAATATGTCAATATATTCCGTTTCCGTAAATATATTTACTTCAAACTACTATGCTTAGATATGTGCAAAAGGAATTTGTCCACAAGGGTATTAAATCTACGGCGTGCGGAATGTATCCTTACTTTCACGTTTTTTGGTATTTTTGCGTGTTGGCCTGCACTTAAAGCGTTCTTAATGAAAGAATTTTGGTTTTACTTCGCATTTGTTGCTTGTTTTAATTTGATTTTTTAGCACTAGCTGGGATATATTTCAAATTTATGCGCCTGGTTGGCATTTTGATGGACTGCGAAAGCAAATCAAGGCAGCCGCCGTTCGTTTTGTATAACTAAGTATTATGTATAATATGCATAGCGATAAGCCCACATTTGGTTCCCAAAGAAAAACAAAGCTTAACTCTTTAAAGTTTATTTATTTTATAAATATTCCTGTCGATTTGCCATTTACATGTGTTGCTTAAATTTACATATACAATGAGTAGCTATGCGTATATATATATTTATATATATTTAACTCCATTTATTTGCTTTTTGTATAACAATTTATTTACTTTTTTCTTTTCATTAATCTTTAATATACATTTTGTTGTAAGCTATAAATGAATATGCAATTTTTTGTTTGTTTTGTTTATTGATTGTTTAAATACTCGCTTTTAATTTAAATATATTCAAGCTGCATAGCGTCGGGGTTTGTTTTATTTATTAGTATGATATTTATTTGTGCTTTTAATATACTTCGCTTATATATGTATTTTACAGTATTAACTTTATTTTTAAATATATATGTCAAGTGTATTTATATTTGAAATTCTTAATTGCTTGCCAAACAAATAATTAGCACGATATATACGATTTTTTTTCGTGATTTTTATATTAAGTAAATGATATGTATGAAGTTTTTTTTTTTAATTTAATATTTAATTAATAATGTTTTTTTGTCGACTTGGAACGGATGTTGAGCTGGGAAGCTGAAGAGTAGAACTTAATGGAAACTAACGAAATGTCAATTTGAATATTTACTCAATATTTCTTGTGGTATATATAGAGTATATATATATTATTTTTAAATATATGCCACATACACAGCCAGCTGCTGAGCATGTGCTACGTAAATTTTTGCTATATTTTTGTTGTTGATTATTTTCGTTATGTTTCGGCTTGCTTCGAATATTTAAACTGCATTATATTCAGCTCTCAGACCGCTCCAGTTGTAATTAAATGTTGCCTTGCCTTAAAATTAGTTTCCCCAATCGAATACAATTATAATTAAGCATTCAATTTAGCTGCAATTAAATGTTACTTTGCACACATACAGTCTCTTCAATTATGTCCACATGGCTTAATACAAATTTACACCTAAAAACTAAAAAAAAACCGCTTTGCTGTACGTTTATGTACACGTGCCATACAATTTGCCTTTGCATTAATATATATATATATATTTGCTTCTGATTTATATATATATGTATATATTACATAATTCTCAGTTTAAGCTAAACTTATGCTAAGATTCAACAGCTTGAACATGCACGCGTAGGGATTAGGAAGCCTGGTTGACTTAATATTTAGTAGCTACACAATATACGTACTTATTTATGATATATGTTTTTTTTTTAAACGTTCAACTTTAACTAAGCCACGTGCCATAAATCAGCACCAGCTTTTGGCATTGACAAACTCAATCAAGCCCAAACACCATCATCGCATTGCCATCGCCTCCAACTCCAGCTCCAGTTCCGGCTCCAGCTCCAGCTCCAGCGCCATCTTCTGCTGCTGCTGCTGCTGTCTAATCTCTGTTGGCGCTTCGCGTCTGTGTCAAACATGTGTCAGTGCTTGTGGCAACAATGCCAGTTGAGTTTTTCCCAGTTGCCTCGTCAATGTCGTCCTCATCATCCAAAGCAGCAGCAACAGGGTGGGCAACAGACAGCTGAGGGAGAGTCGTCCAGATTTTCTGGTTAGCCGCAGCGCAGCTGCCGATGATCCATATATGCTGTCAATGCTCTCCGCACTAAGACTCAAATCAGCTGCGGCATGTTTTTTGGGGGGAAAATTGTGGAAAATGTTAATGGACTTGGCGGGTTGAACGGCGGAAATTGGCTAAACTGTGGGCGGAACAGTTGTAGTGATTAGCTGGGCGGTGCTTACGTTAACTGGCGGCTGACAAGACTCTGCTGAGAGCTGACGCTGGACAAAATTTATCACACGCTTAAGCAATCACGGCTTAAGAGTCAGAAGGTCAAACTTGATCGACTCGCTGCCAAAAACTAGCTACACAGCTGTAGTTGCAGCTATGACTGGATACGGACTGCTATCTAACTTCTAGACTCCCTTCTAGATTGACTTCTGCAGAGATTGTTACAATGAGACGGAGATAGAGTCAGTGTCCAGCCCTGGGCAAAACTAGCTTCCGTTTCCCAGGAAGCCGCAGACTAGAAAATAGATTGCGGATCTGTTCACTGCAATTTCCCAATGAATGGGCCTTGGTTCAAGCGAGTCGAGGGCAGACTGGACTGAGCTATCCTTAACAATGCCAAAGTCCTGTCATGGTCAATTTAAAGAATTTCCATTCTATTTAAACCTAGCCCTCAGTCTACGCTGAGCAAACCCACAATTAATTTTATTTCTGAACTTGCATACAAATATACACAACTCAATTAGGCTATAAAAATAGAAAAGAACTTTCGAGCACTTTACTGCCTCCTACTCTTGGCCACGTCTCCATTTTTGGGGGCCACAATAGAATTTATTTATGATTGTGGCCAAGTATTTACAAATCATTAAATTGCCCTGAAGCCAAGCCGAGCGTGTTTATTGATATACAATTATGTGGGTCTGAGCTAGCGAAAAAACTTTTACCTGCCCCTAAAAAGTATGCTACACTTCTTGTTCATTCCACCTTATTTGCACAACCTTTTCCCTCTTCAAATTTTCTTTTGGATTTTCTTTTTTATTGGTCTTGCGGCTCGCAAATTAGTGTGAAAATCTGTTAAACATGCGGCGAAAAGCGTTCAGCACGACAATGTCCCTAGTTTACTTTTTCTTTCTTTATCCTCGTCTCAAGTGGCCTGTTAAGCCCGTAGCTGGGAGCTGGGGGCTGGGCTCTGGCCTCTCGACCATAAATGCTTGAAATATGGCCCGTAACCCTAATCGGTGCGTTGCACACCCGGAACCGGAACCGAGCCAGAAAGAGAGAGAGAGAGAGGGGGAGAGGGGGAGAGATGAGCACATTGACTTGGCTTACCTTTTCGCTTACCGGGATTCTCGGTGTCCTCACCGCTGTGCTCCTGCGCCCTCGACGAATGATACATTTCCGAGCTTTTCGTGCGCTCTTTACCTGGTTTTTTTTTGTGTGTGGGAAATAGGTTGAATAGGTATGGCGATTAAGTTTTGGCGGCTTTCAAAAGTATTTGCCCTGCTGTTTCTAATACTAGTTTATGCCTAATGCATATTTATAAAAGACTTGTCGCAAGTTTGTTGCTTTTTCATTTCCATTTCCTTTGCCGAGCCACCCACCGCCCCCCTAAGCTGCCGGGCTGACTGCTTCACCTGTTTCGTGGCGTTGACGATTCGAAACGGATTTGCATGCCAAATGAATTATTTATGCTTTTTCTCCCAGTTCGGTGGTGTTTTCTTCTTTTTTTTTTTCTTCTCCATTTCTGTTTTTTATGATGCCAGCCGGGCAAAGTGAAATATTTGCCGCTCATCTTAAATTTATGCCGAGTGGCTATTAAATCTCGCTTTTCTCGCGCCTGCTCTCACCCTCAACTCTCTTAGACTTTGGCTTTCCACAGATCTCAAGGGCTTGTTGTAATGTGCGATGTTTGTAGCTCAGGTTTGCTTTCTAATACTAGAAATGGGCTTTGCTGGGAGCTGAATATCGTATATATACAGGGTAAAGTCGAGGGACTTTAGAAACTAGTTAGTTAATACTTGAATTAAGTAAAGGAGAGTCAAGACATTCTGCTAAAACTTTAAGAACAACAAATTGGTATTATATAATATTTGCTGGCTTGACGGTTGCAATTCTCAACAAGTTAAAGCACAGGGTATAGGGCATTTGCAATGCTTGAGCCGTTAGCAGAATCTGCTAGCAATAGAAACGGGAGCTCCTCAACCTCATTTTTTTTTTTGTTTATTTATGTATATAAAATAAATAAGTCACAGTCAACTCGAGCCGCCCAACTTTATATAAGTATTTATACCAAGCAACTTTCTATTAGCCTAATTGTCGTACTTTAAATATTATTCAATAAAAGTCGCAGTCTTTCAAGATATGTTTCGAAAAAACTTTAATACCTGTAAGTAGAGCTCCAGCATCTACCGTTTCTATATCTTTTACGATCTCATTTAAATGCCTTTCGCTTAGCTGTTTTGTTTTGACTCACCTTTGTGTCGCGCCTCAAAGTTCTCCACATAGTTGACGGCATTTGGTGGTATTCCTATGAAGTGTCAGTTAGCATATTAGCTATGCCCAAAATGAATTTAGTTTTGAGCTCTACTCACTGTATAGCTTGATGGTGCCATCTGTATCGCCCAGTGAGTTCTTGGCCACACAGCGATATGCGCCAAATTCCGCCTGCGACAGCGGATTGATGTGCAGCTTCATGGAGCTGCGATAGCCGGCGATTTCTGTAACATTTGCCGTGTATTGACCGCCTGCAAAAATAGCAAAAAAAAAAATGCAAATAGAAACAGTTAATTATTGCATTGAAATAATAAACTAATTAATATTTAATTGAAATTTTGCGTTACTTAAATTAATTAAAAGCATGTCACGTGCAATGCCCGAAACGGGCCAAAGTGAACAGAATGTCGTTGACAGGCGAGCATGCAGAAAATTTATGCCACACTTCAGAGTTGTGTGGCCATAGACGTGGGAGGGGGGGCTTACCAGTTGAAAGATAGTGCAAATGAAATTTATTTATTTACATTTATAGTATAAATTGAAATGAAACAAATCGCCTCTCGACGACTCGTCTCTCAATTAAAACCCAGAATCCACGCATGTCCCAGGCAGCGTGCAGAGAAACCGCTGAAGTGCGGCTGCCCCGAACCGCCTATCTGTGCGGAATAAGGGGGGAACAGGGGATTCTCAAATGTAATTCTCGCTCGTATTTACTAAATCAGCTAATTAAAAACTTTTTGTCGCGCGCGAACTGTGCACTCGACGGTCATCAGTCTGGTTAGTCTGTTCGGTTGGCTCAGACGGTCGGGCGGACTTTTTTTTTTCGGAGCGGAATCCATTGGGAACCTGACTCTGTGTGGGGCCACGTTTGCGGGCTGTCGCCGTGGTAATGTGTTTGTCGCGGATAATGAATTGTTAAATGATAGTTTTTATTTACATATTTGACAGCCAAATGTCAGACGTAGCTGGCCAGCTGGAAAACTACTCGCATTAGCAAAAGTTTTAAATCATTTAAAAAATACGTCACTTTTAGTCAGTGAAGTTTGCTTTTATTAAAAAAAATAAATTGTCAATTAAGATTTCGTTGAGGTTGAATAATTAAAATGTTTTAACTAAAAAGAGTTACATCAGATTCAAATTTATTTCTGAATGAAAATTAAGGTGTTCGAAGGAAATGTATGAACTAAACCACATTTTCTGAATGAAAATTGAAAAGTTTTAAGCTAAAAAACTTTATTGGGTTAAGTTTACTTTACTCTTTAGAAAAATAGAAAAACATAATCAGAATGAAAACATAGTTAATTCAACTACGTTTTATAATGTTGTACTGACTATATATGCTTTGCGAAGTCATATACTTCCACTTCAGTCTGTCTCAAATATTTTAAAATTAACTTTCGCATAACTTACCTGGTGGCACGATTTCGCCACGCTCACGAGTCCAATAGTTAATGGATTTGGGATATGCTTCCGATTGGCATTCCAGAGTAACACCTTTGCCTTCCACGGCGCCAATTAGTTGATTCTGCACCGTGATCATGGGTGGAACTGAAATGAAGAGATCATAGACTTAAAGAGTAAATGACAGTAAATATTTAAATATTCAACAGTTTTTCTACTTTTTTAGACATATTATTAGCATATAAATTATTTGATTTTAAATTGATTTGTAATACTTACAATGCACCACAAGTGTTATCCGTTTGCTCACTGAGGGAGGGACTCCATTTGAAGCTATGCATAGATAGGCGCCCATGTGTTGACGTTTTACCTGAGGTATTATCAGATCCGTGCCCTCAATGCTGGAAACTGTATAAAATTAAAGTAATACGAGTAATACAGTTAGTTAATCTAAACTTTCCTCTTATTACCACTTAAATTGTTTAACAAATAGTTGAAAAAGTCTGCTTATTATACATACATGCATTCACATCAAAAATCCTCCAATTATACAATCATAAATCTTTATTAATATCATTTTGCAAGCAACGACTGGTTTGGCATGTTAACGACTAAGCTCTTGTCAAAAATAATCCTTTCAGGCAAAGTATCTACGCAATTACCACAACTGTAAATACAAATGTATCTACAAAATGTTTAGCCATGTAATGATAGTTATTACATTTGCCTAAGCTCTTTCATGCATTTTGTTCGCCCAACTAGTCGGCAGTTGGGTTTATATTTCGTACAACAAAAGTTGCATAGAAAAGCGAAAAACTTTTAGCGACTTTTATGATGATGCTGTGTGCACCATGCGGGGCACTGGCCTTTAGAGGGGGCGGTGGGGTCTGTTTGGTAGTAGCTGGCAGGTCCACGCAAATATCCTGTTTTGATAGTCGAACTCGGTTTTGATACCCTCAAACCATTGAGAATGGCTACAAAGGGTATATTTATTTAATGCAGATGTGTCTAGCAGATAGAAGGAGGATCTCTTGGTCAGGACGACTAACTGAGGTGCTGTAGTTATGTCTGCATGAGCGCGAACTATAAGAGTTAGTGTTTTTAAGAGTTAGATAGTTCTAAGAATAAGATATATATATAGATATATATAAGTATAGCATACGCTGAACGAGCTTATAATTTTATGCGGTATCTTTCGCGACTTCCAAAAAATCGATTAATATCGATTTTGAGATAACGTTTTGAAGCATAACACGAAAATAAAGGAAGCTACGGTTTAGATCAAGAAAGTTTAATATTTGACTGCCTTCTCATAGCAAAGGGATGAAGCAAATAAGGCATAAGGCCAATGGAAGGCAATTGAAAGTTGTTTGTCGCTGGATTCAGGGCATCTGCTAGTCGTGCACGCCCGTATGAAGCACTCTTGCTATTATATAAATTGCATAGTTGTAGAGTAGTTGTTCGCTAAGCCGGCAGCAGCACAGACTGCAAGTGCAACATGATGATGATATGGATATGTCCTCTATCTATCTATGTAGCTGTGTGTGTGTGTGTGTGTGTATTTGGGTGCACCGGAAGCGGAAGTGCTGGCTAGTTTGCGCTTGATATTGTTACGTATGCAACGGCAGCAGGATATATACACAGCTAATAAGCTGATTTTTCGTTTATTGATTCGCCCAGGTCACAGGTCACAGTTCCCAGTTCCCATTCCGCAGTCCGCAGTCCGCAGTCCGACTTTAATGCCAGGAATAGCCGCATTGCTTATTAGCCGCACATTTTTTGTGCGGTCATTAAACGTAATAGCCACGAAAAACGTGTAATTTGGTTGAAATGAACAGCAAACAGTCGCGCCACGCTAAAATAGCATAAAAACTCTACTCGGGCGCCATGATTTCATTTGAGCAACCAAACCAAATAATCAAATTTCAAATGAAAAACAAAAAAAAGAAAAACTTTTACCCCACCAAACGTTGCTGGCAATTTTAAAACAAAGAAAACTTCACGAATGCCTGAAATAGCGCCCTCAAAATACGCTACCAATTGCATGAGATTAAATATATTCTCAATGATACGGCTGGTGGATTATGCCCCAAACTATGTTTCAATAGATATTAAATCTTACCCATATTGAAATAGATTTTTTTTTGGGACCTATTGAAGTTGTGGTAGATATTTATAAATTGAATTTTACTTAAATTAAATATGCTTAGTTTTTTAAATCATATTAAAAATAAATAACTTAACTTTTTTTTTAAGTGTATATCAATACTGAAATACTATATCAAATACCTACTTTTATGTTTAGCTTTTTATATAATTTTTTTAATATCTCACTTTCTTTAAACTGCCAAACACTTGCATCTACCTGCAGAATAATGCTTAAGGGAATTTTGGAAATTCTATTACGGAAATACTCGCTTATTTTTCATCACATGAAAATAAATATCTGAATTTACTTATTACATTTTGTACATATACCTACTTTACTTGTATATAAATATTTTTTAAACATCTCTAAGCTTCCACAAACTTGCTTCTAAATACTTGCATCTACTAAGTTTTAGTCAGAATAATTCCTATGCTACTGTATCGTAAATAACTATATGAATTTTTGTATTTAATTTTTATAGATACCCTATTTAATTTATAGTAAATATATATATAAATATATGTATGTTATTATATATTGTATTGTTTAAAAACCATTTTTTTTCTCTTAGTCTCTTTAAACTCCCAAGGACTTGCATCTACATAGACTATGTTTTATACAGAATAACATTTCTTAAAATATACCAACACACTTTTTCATATACCTAAAATAAAATTAAAAATATTAATTTTAAAATATTTTAAAATTGTTGGTAATTATTATTGTCATGCTAATGAAAAATTGTTGTCTTTCGACTGCACTAAACGAACTTCTTGATTATGTTACAAACATAATGATAAAGTCATTAAGCTCATGAGCTACCCAAACACATATCGCGTATTAAAAAGCATTGCGGGCGCTTCAATGGTCCAACTGGACAGCCCTCCATAGGGTAGCAGACATTTAAGCCCCAGTGAAAAGGTCATTTTGCCAACTTTTGTACTATTAATGCTGTTTTTTGTTCTTGTTTTTTTTTTTTGACTGGTTTGTTTTTTTCTCTTTCGTTTCAGGGGTCTCCATTTTTTGCTAGGCCACCTTTGATTTTGGCCTTTCGTGTGGACTTTGATGGGGCTCGACCTGTTTATGCAGCATAACTCATGCAATGGACTACACTGAGCAAATGTTGTGTGCGCGAAAAGAAATGAATAATCCTAAATGATTTCTTTGAATTAATGAGTTGTAGCTTATGAGCTTTGTAAATGCTTCTGTCAGCTAATTAAAACTGAAAATGCGTTTCAAGTGTGGAAAGAGATGAAAAATGAATAACCGAGAAGTTAAACGTGTGCATTCAGGTAAGATACCTGAAAAAAATTATAGGAAAAATTTAAAAAAAAAATACTCTTCGATTTTTAGAATATTTTGAGAAGAAAACAAAACGAACTTTAGAATATTAACTTATGCCAAGGACAGCATTTCAAAAGATAAATAGATACATAGATAGATATATAGATTGACAGACAGACAGACAGATATGTTTGGGATATACTAATTGGTCTCCGTATTCATTCACACGCAAAATATGTGTACAATTGAGTGATATTAATTTCATATTTTAAGAGTATTAAAATGAGGTATTCGTGAGTGCATTCATAAATGTATTTATGCGCTTATATAAAAATATGCGAAATTTTTTAAAGTTTGAGTGTTATTTTAAGCTTATATACATTAACAAACATATCAAATAATGAAAAATTGGAGGGTTTTTATTCCAGCATATTTAAAAGAAGTAATCGTGAGTGCATTCATAAATATAATATTCTAGAAGTAAATAAAACTTTTGAAAAGTATTTGTAGAATCCGTATTCATGAGTACATTCATAAATGTATTTATGAGTGTGTGAATTTGAAAATGTAATCAAAGAAAGAATCATATGAGTGTACAAATTCGAAGGGGCATTTGGTATTCATGAGGGCATTCATAAATTTAATATAGTCAAAGTAATGTTTAGTTTGAGTGTCATTTATAACTTTTAATAAATACATTTATAAGACTTATTCGTCAGAGCATTTATGACTCTATTTATGAGTGCATTCTCGAGAATAAAATTACTGAGATAAGAGATATAACGGGTATTCATGAGTGCATAAAGGATATTCATGAGTGCATTCATAAATGTAAAAATGCAAAGAAAATCAATATTTTGAGTTTTAACTATAACCATTAACTAGTTAGTTGACAAGAGGTATTCATGAGTGTATTTATGAGTGTATTCATGATTGTTTGCTCAAAACTGATTAGTTTCAGTTTTAAATTAGATTCACAACGCACACTTGGGTTTTTAATCCCCGCTCACAGACCTTTCCAGGCCAATTAGAAGTGCAATAGTTGGCACATTTTGCTCGCCTGCTAACCATTCGCTAACTAACCACTCGCTAATTCTGTCAGTGCAGCCATCAAACGTCATCATCAGTCTGAGAGGGGGATGGGATGGGGTGGGGTGGGGTGAAATGGGGTTTGGATGGGGTTGGGTTGGGTGGATTGCATCGACACACTCGCAAAAATATGCAGGTTGAAAGCTGGTTGGAACACAGGTGCGCTCCTCAGGTGCTTTGGCCACGTAGCACGTACCCGCTGCTGGCTGTGCACTTGTCTGGCGAGGCCATAACCCAGCCGTTGGCCGGTCCGCTGCTGGCGTACGCTACCTTTTTGTGTAAAAGTACTCCAAAAATGTTGGCTGGCAAACCTCATGCAGCAGTCGGTGGCAGCAACAGCACAACAGCAAAAAGTACTTACCACTCACTCACACACACGCACACACACACACACACACACACAGAGTGAAAGAGAGAGAAAGAGAGAGTCATGCATGCATATGACCATGGTGATACTCCAAACCGAAACTTACCCTCCTCGCCGTTGGCCAACTCGATGGGCACTCCACTTTCACGTCGCCATGTAATTGTCGGCTCTGGTGAACCGGTAGCAGCGCATTTGAGCGTCACGTTGCTGCCCTCCCGTACGACCATGTCCGTGCTTGTAGGATAATCTAGGATATCCGGCGGTACTGCAGCGGCAACAGCAGCAGCAGCAGCAGCAATCGGGTTGCAATTCCAATCGAGGCCGCCAGACGGTCGTCGTCGTTGTTGTTGTTGTTGTCAGATAATGTTTATAACAAATATATTCAAAAAGAATAAAAACAAAAAAGAACACACATGAAAAGAGAGAGAGAGAGAGAGAGAGAGAGAGAGAGAGAGATGGAATATGAGCTGCATTGTCATGTTGTATTTTTAAAAATACGTATTTACAATTTGTACTTTATATTGCATTTAAATAATTTGCGCTCATTTTTCACTCAGCTGGCAATCTGATTCATATTCATGTGTCCCCGAAGATATCCTTGCAAATGAGCGCTTGTCGCCGCCTTTGTTTAAAGGACAAACTTATCATTTGTCCCGGCGCCGCAACAACCAAAAAAAAATAACAAAAATAAAAAATAAAAATTAAATAAATAAAAGTTGGAAAAAAAAGTAAATTATATATGCACGTAATATGACCACGACCACAGCGGCGAATGTTTGCGCCCTCAGCGGAAAACCTATGAACCAGAGGAAAACGTAATAATGCCGAGGGGATGGAGGAGGGAGAGGGTCTTGAATAGGCGCCTGTTGTACGTGTATAATGTATATATATACGTGTGCATATAATATGCCGCAATTATGTGGTCGGTAAATGACCAAAAAATGTGCTGGTGTTGACAAACAGCTTGTTATATGGGGCAGGTGTGGCGACGGGCGGGAGAGGGAGAGGGAGAGAGAGAGAGAGAGAGAGAGAGAGAGAGAGACGGTGGCCGGGCAGGAAGAGCTCGGACGTATCCAACTGTGTGCTGAACTGCGATGACCACTGAACGGTCATTAAGTGGCCAAGGTTAGGACTGAAAGGGGCAGCCAGAATGACAAAGGGATAGAATTTGCACCGAGTTGCTGGTAAGGGTGAAATTTACAGGGGGGAACAGGGCAATGCAAATAAACGGGCTATGATTGCATGGGGCTGAAGAGTATATTAGACATATTGTTAGACAATATGCCACGAACATTTAATTATGCAACACTCGAAAAAAAGTCGGAAAATTGTGTATATATATTATTTTTTTTATTTTTTTTTTTAGTCAGGTTTTCTTTTTCAAGCCCACCGCGAGCATTCTGTTTTTCAATCCAGGCTGAGGTCGTGGTTAATAATATATTTGGTTTATAAATTAAACAATATTTTTATTAATAGTATTTAAAAGAATTATATAATCAAAATTGTTATGATGAGCTCTCATAGTATTTTATTGTAATGAAATAAATAAAGTATAATATATTCTTGTTGCCATTTGCAGATATTTGCTGCCCAACTTCAAATTGGAATATGTGTGATATTAGAAAAAATTCTATGGGTAAGTTTGTTTTTAAATTAAAATTCGGAATATTTTGTTAAACCAAAGATTGAACAATTTTTTATTTAAATGTTGTTTTTTAGTTGAGTTTTTTTAATAAATTTACTTAAAATTTTTGACGAACCAAAGATTAAACATTTTATGTATTAAAGTGAAATGTTTAAAGCTGAGTTTTTTAAATATTACTTTAAATATTTGGAATAACCAAAACTTCAACAACTTTATATATAAGTGCTGCTTTTAGAGTCGAGTTTTTTTTTTTAATATTTTATTTATTTATTAATTTAAGTATTGCGTTTAATGTTGAGTTCTATTTAAAATATTACTTTAAATATTTTGAGTTAAAAAAATAAATTATTTATTTATTTAAGTTCTTCTTTTTAAAGTTGTTTTTTATTTTTAAAATATTATTTTAAATATTTTAAAAAGCCAACGATTTTAATTTTTTTTATTTAAATGTTGTTTTTAAAGTTTAGTTTTTTGTTTTTAATATTATTTAAATAATTAACGAATTAAAAATTAATAAATTTGTATTTAAGTTTTGAAAGTTAAGTTAAGTTATATATAAAACATTTTATTTCTTATTTCATTATATTTAAATTTTATTCAATTTAAGTACTTCTTTCTTTCCATTTCAAATGTCAAATTTTCTTTTGTTTCGTTTGAAAATTTTGCTCTCAAAAAAGTGAAAGAAATTGTGTGCAAAAATCTCGAACTGCAGCGCTCTCATCAGCTTAAATGCTGGTCAGAGCCGAATGCCGTTGTATGGGTGCGCGTGTATCATACACATTTTGGCATATATATGTGTGTGTGTGTGTGTGTGTGTGTGATTGTCCGTATGTGTGTGCGTGTGTGGGAAACGGCATTCAAACGGAGGGAGTTGCCAACTGTGCGCCCGTTGCCGTTTGTCGTCGGCTGTTTAACTGCACTTGGTCACGAAAATCATCAGCGCCCGCAAAGGTGCCCCACCTCTTTCCCCCCCGCCTGGACCCGCACCCCCCTCAACCGTTAACAAATGCTGCTCGTTCCTTTTCCTGTTGCGCTGTGGTGCTGTGGTTGGCTGATTATCCACTGCAAATACACACAGTTGATTATACTTTTTCGTGTTTGGCGCCAAGCCCCGACTGCATGGTGGCTAAAATATTTAGCGCGTTGATTTAGATTTGCCAGCGAAAGGTATTTAGGCAGCTGTGACTCGAATGGGGCTAGTGTTAGCCGGGGACGCGGATTTGAAGACCGCAAATGGACAACTAGTTCGTATTCGCAGTTGCAGCCGCAACGGGCCGTCAGGCCGGACGCATTTCTTACGTCTGCTTCGGCCTGAGCGCCGTTTTAATTCAAAATCAACAATTTCTGCGGTTCAGCGGACGGTTAAACATGTTTAAGCAGTCGCCATAGCGGTGCATCGTGGGTTACCAAGGGTTGCTTATGATGAGGGCGCTGGGGGAGGGGGGCGTGCCCACTCGATGTTTCGCTGGCCCCGTCCTGTGCATTAGCTGGCGAAATTTCATAAACCATGAAACGAACTCAATTCCGTTCTCGCACTGCCGCGAAGCGGAAACGTTTTGTTGGCACCGCGGGCGGATTTGTATGTATTTATTCGTTATTTATTTCGAATACGTATTTTAAAGCGTATGAAAAGGGTATATTGGTTGCTTGTTGTATGTAAATGAGAGGCCGCTCGGAATGAAGGCTCTTCCACAGGAGACGCAGATAATTTATTTGAAACTATCGATCAAATTTCATCGATATAAATCGATAACTATACTCTGTTTTTCTTTAATCTCGGATCGTTTAGGCGCTGGAGACTCGAATTCTTCCCATCAATTTAAATACATATGCTAATTGTGCTGGTACAAACAAGGGCCTTGGTATACACATACTTTCGCTCTGGTAAATTAATAAAGATCGGACAATAAGGACCGAAGTTATTCAAGAACGATTCTTCGTTTGATGTGTTTTTAACGGGCAGAAGAAGCACAACCGCATCCTATGTATGTGTGTGCATGTATTAAAAAAAGCTACATTTTTTCTCGGGCAGCTTGGTGTGATTTATAGGGTATCTCTTAGTCGGACACGGCCAGTCGGAACACGCCTATTTGTTTTATTAAGTTTTTATTCGTGGAGAACCAAGTGCGAATACCGGCTCGAACAATGCAACCGGCGCTGTGGCAACGAGGCGTATGATTGTTTGACAAACGAAATGGAAAAGGCAAAAGTTTTTTTTATTGCATTTTATTTTACTTTTTTGTCTTCTTCCGCACACTTACCCACAACGTCCAGGTAGCCCATTTGACTTTTCATTGGATCCGTATTTATTTGGCACATGTACCTGCGAATATGTGATAAAACAGGTGCATATTTCAGGCTCAATCGGATCGCATTCTCCTTACCAGCCCCTATCCGACTCCTTGATGTCCCTGATGCGCATTGTCCAGGTCTTGTGCTCCGAGTTGGCAATGCCGATGCGTTGATTTTTGGTTATAACATGATTCTGTATGGTCAAAATTGTTTGTGTATCGACGCGCAGCCACGCAACCTGTTTGGGAAAGTTAACAAACAGCAGTGGGCGTGTCAGTGGGCGTCTAATTAGCAGTTGCTTATTTTTGGGGCACAGTTTGGTCTATTTGTGTTGCAGGGGCAGAGTTTTGTCTAAGTGAAACTTATGAAATTTATAACAGACAACAGCTGCTGTCCGAACAATCCTTTTCATTTACTTATATTGATTTTGTATACAACTAAATTGTTAAAGTAATTTTTTGGATTTAAACTCATTTGTTTACGGATGCAATAAATATTTTTTTTTAATTTACAAAAGACTCAAAGCAAAGTAAAAGTACACGTTTATTGTTGTCTTTTCTGTATTTGTATTTAAGTCATTTCTTAAAATTGTTATATTCAAATTCGACAATTAAAGTTGAATAATTTTTAAAGTTTCCTTTTCTTTCACAAAGACGCATTGAGATATCGGACTCGACTCCATCTGATATATTATAACTGATTACCCAGTTATAATATATTTAAAATAGTTGCCGCGCATAATAATAAATATTAATGCATGAATGCATTGCAACAATTTAACATAAAGAAAAAACAAGTAAAAATAAAATAAGAAACCAGAAAGTGGAATATCTTCGGCACGCCAAAGCTTTAATACCCTTGCAGACATTTGCCTAACGGTTTTGCAGATATTTTAGAATAATGAAGCTCGTAAGTGCTGCGTTCGATAAAAATGTCTGAGAAATCGGACTATTTTGGCATAAAAGAACCTACTTTTCGACCGATATTACTTATGGCCACTATAGTGGTCCGATCCGGCCGGTTCCGACATATGAACTGCCTGCAACTGAAGGTTTTATGCAAAGTTTTAAGACAATAGCTTTAAAACTGAGAGACTAGTTCGCATAGAAACATAACTATATAAACTCGACTGTTGAAGCTGATCTAGAATATATGAAATCGGAGATATCATATTCTGTGCGTTACACTTTTCATGACAAAAAGTGATACGTTTAGTTTAATTGGTTTTAATGTAGTACTTAAATAATCGAAAGGAATATGTATAACAGCAATGATTTTCAATAAACAATTATTGTTCCTTTGCAATAGAAGCTTTGTTTTCTATTCTAGCAAAACAAACCTTATAGCAATCATTATAGCAATTATTATTAAAAAAATAAAAACTAAATAAATTATATTAATATATGTATATTTATATATATTATAATATATTTGTACAATAATATTTAAATATACATATTATTTAAAATATGTATTTAAAATAATATAATAAAATATATTGATATATATAGACAAAAATTAATATAAATAATTATTACTATTAGTTTTGTTTTGTTTTACATAACATACTACATTTTTTAAAATTTGGAGTAAGAAACTTTTGCAAGGAGTGAAGCTGTTAGAGACATTTTTATCGACCACTTAAATACTTTATCTTTTTTATGAATATTTAGGGCATATACTTATGCGACTTATATCTTGGGTTAGGATTTAAAAAGTCCCTGAAAAATGCTGCAACCCGAAACGGGTTTTTATTAACTCTAAATTGAAGCTTTCTCAAATTTAGAATATATATTGGGTCGATTAATTTGCACTCAATAGAAAGTATCGCAAAATTAATATATTTTTCATTTAAGTTATTCTATATAATATTACACAAGGATTTTCCAGCTAATTTTCAAATATATATTATATAGCTATGCATTAGCCTAGCATTAGAGAATGCTGAGCATGCACTCCAGCACAATTATCCAGAAAATCTATTCCAAGAACTATTTCTAAATATTTTGCCTATGAAGCCTAAGTAGCTGGTTGGTTTGTCACGCACACACACACACACACTCCGACACACTCACACACACACACAGCCACACACACACGCACACACTTGGCAGTAATTGTACAATTACGCGGTTAAATTATTATGCGATAAAGCACGCAGCATGCAATCTGAGCCTGCCTCGGGTATGTGTGTACATATGTATATTTGATATTAAATAGTTCGTCGTCCAGTTGTCGAGTTCCCAGAAATTCCACAACCCTTTCACACAACACTTTGCATGTGTAAATGTGACGGACGTTGGGAAACAATTTGAGGGCTCAGCTGAGCGGACATGTTAACACGTGAAGCTATTTAGGCAATGTCGATTTCAGCTGACAGATATATAAATATATATATAAATATAAATATATATATTATAGGATGACATATCGATGGCTAATGAATTATTTAAGCGGACATTACATTGCATTTAACTTTTGGGTCTCGGTAAACCGAAAATATTGTCAGCATAAAATAAGTAATTACACCCAAGTGCCTGCTCAATTATCCTTGAGCAGCATATCGCTTAATTGTCTGAGTTGGGGCTGGGTTCGAGGGGTTTGGCTTAACTGGGGGCTGTTGATAGAACAAAGCTTTGCGCTTTGAGGCGCACACCTGGCCCACAAAGCAGCCAACCCACAGACAGACATTAACTGAAACGATGATGAAGCATGCCCCGACCCCTAAATGCCAACCCCAAACGACGCAACCCCTAGCCATATCCCTAGCCCTAGCCCTAACCTGAGAGCTACCTTCCCCCGTGTCTGACACATTCGCATTCATATTTCAATTACTTTTTATGTGATTTTAGCTTTTGTTATTGCTAAGCTCCTGCATATTTCTGTTTATGTTTTTATTTTCACTTTCATTTCCATTCAATTCGTATTTGTTGTCGTTGTTTTGGGTGTTGAGATTTGGTCTTTGAGATTACGACTCCAGCCGTCTGGCTGGAGGTAAACTGCTAATGAATATTAATGCGACCGGTTGGGTTTTTCTCTGGCTGCTTATTGAGTGTGTAATTGAGCTGGCTGGTGAGAAGGTGAGGAGGACACGGCTCTGTTTGTATTTGTAGGGGGGAGGGAGTATCTCTCGTACCTTATACGGGCCCAGATCCTGCACGACACATGTGAGGAAAGCATCACGTCCCACTGGCGCTGTCACATTTGCGATTGGATAGCTAAATTTGGGATCAACTGTAATCAAAATAGAGCATTCATTTTGTCACATTAATAATCTGCCCGAATCAATGTTAATTGGTATATAATGGAAAGAACAAAAATATATGCGATAACAATTGAGTGCGCCTCATGTGAAGCCAATTATAACGAATTGTGTTGGAATCTTTTTATATTTTATTTTATTAAGCGTGTGTATTTATCGGCAATGGAAACAGTTCATATCAGATATTTATTATGGTGTTAATCGCTGTATTTTATTAAAAGAATTAATCCATTTTCCATCCTGCTTTTTTAAGCGAATTTATCCGGTGATTTCTTTAACCTTTTTCAACTAAGCATATATAGAATCAAATTGGGTTTATTGCCCATTCAATTTCTATAGTTCAATAGAAAACTCCATTTACTATAGTTAGCCACAAATAAATTATTTTTATTATTATACTGCTTATTTGTCTTTTAAATTCTGAATTTCTTGTTATATATAAAGAACATAATTAACATAAGCTTTTTCATATATTAAAAAGTTTAGAGCCTTACGTTGCCTTGGTCATCTATCTATATATGTATTTTTCTATATCTATAATAATTGTAATTCTTTTAAATTAAAATTTGTTTGTCGTATTTTTAATTTTACTGTATTTAAGGAAACAACTTTAATTAAACTTATATTAACCAAAAACAATCCAACTTATTCCAAAGTTTAGTCTAACTTAATAAAATGAACAATATTAGTTTATATAAACCGATCTGAGAGGTCGATAGAATGACTGACAGACTGATTGACTCTGACTGACAATCCGATTGACTGACTGGTAAGCATGTAGCTTTAAACGCGTGAGCCTTTAAAGTATTATAATTTATTGTATAAAAATGTATTTTTTTTTACAAATCGATCAGCTTTAAATTGGTTTTTTAAGATCTACAACAAATTTTTTGGAGCTGAGTCTGACTTAAGGGTTTCTAGGGTATCCTAACTAAAGTTAAGCTTTCGTTCGTTCGAATTCATTTTCAAAGCTTTATCTTGATGATTAAGAGAAGAAATGTATATGCATAGAATGTTTTCATTTGCCATAATTTACAAATATATATACTCAATCATTTAATATGGAATATGTAGACCGATTTGTTCGTCAACTTTTTTGATTGTTCTTCAGAAAACGTTTATTCTGGAGCTATTTATTTATTTAAAGGTTGAGCTTTAATTAAGGATTTATTTTATTCATGTGATTCATTTTATTCAACTCAAATTTGAAAAGATAATTTGAAAATGGTTTGCAACTTTATAAATCTGTGCTTCTAACAAGCTTTTATATACAACTATATACTATTTATTTAACTTACCAATTACTTCGGCTGGCACGTCAATTCTTTGCAGGCTGCATTTCTGGCACATGAATGTGAGCAGCATGAAAATATTTACTGCATACGCCCAGGCGTTAGCCAGCCCGAATCTTTGAGTATGTTTTATGGACATTTCACAAGGTCAGTTAAACACTTTCTTTTTACCAGTTTTATTTAATTATATATTTTATATTGAAACACATTTCACACGATTCATTCAAATGACTATCGCAGCTGTTGAAGTAGCTAATTTCAAGTAGAGACGGTTAGGGGAAAGAAAATTATATACCGTAGACATTTATTATACCCGATTCCAAACGTTGTTTTAGAAATGTTTTTTTAAGTAAACTTTAAATTATTTCAATAAAAAATACTATCGGATTTGCTTAAATTATGTTCAATCAGAATTAATTAATAATCAGAAAAAATACCAGAAACTATTTCGGGTTTCTGCGAAAGTCCCGCCCATATTTTAAAGTCGTTTGCCACTCAACCCATCTCCTAGCTTTTTGCAATGCATGATTAACTATTTGAACTAATTCAACTGAGAATATGGTAAACTTGAACTCCAGCAGGAGTGCAGCAGCAATAGGCAGGGGATCAGTGACCCAGGCCCCCGGCTATTGTAAACAGTTGCTGTTGGGTCATGTTAATTGGCAGTCATTAGCGCGCCTCTCTCTCTATTGGCACAAACTTGGACCGGTTGCCGTTTCCGTTGCCTTTGTTGCTGTTGTTGTTGTTATTTATGCGTAAAGTTCAACAAAAGTACTTGAGAATCGTATCGAAAGTACGAAACAATGCCGTAGCCGGGCAGGCCGGCAAGTCAAACAATAATCATGACGTCGAAAATACGCTAAAAACCAAAAACAAAAACAAAAACAACAACGAAAAAAAAGTTTCAAGTTTAAAGCACCCACTGGGCCCGGATTCCCGCTACCGGTTCCAGTCCAGCTCCAAGCCGTAGTCCGCATTGAGTTTTGCGTGTTTGGGCTCTGTAAATTGTATAGGCGAGCAGCTGCTAGAAATTAACTGCGACCTGCAACTATCTGACGAAGGTGTTGCATGTTGGCCGGCGGGGGGCAGCAACCCCTCTCCACACTGCCTGCTGCCTTCTGCCTCTGCTCATTTCAGTTTGCCTTTGCTTATAGCATTTAAACATAGCCCGGGGCCAAAACTGTTTATGGAACGGAAATGAAATGTTTCGTTTGTGCCGCATCGTGCATATGTGTGTGTGTGTGTGTGTGTGTGTGCGGCTCGTAAATAAAGCATAAAATCGTGCAGCACTCCATATGAAGTTGGAGTTCGTCTGAGTTGAGTCTGAAATAGTTGCGCTTTATAGTTGCAGTCGCCAATTCTATTGGCCATTGCCATTAGGCCCAGTGCATGTCACCTGTTTGGCTGATATGGCCCAGCGCTGACGCAATGCAGTTGCAATTGGTTTCGGCTAACCTAAGAGGATTTCACTTTATGACATTTATAAAATTATAATTCCCAAAAGGAAATATAGCCCAAAATGTTAATTTGATTTACTTCACTTTGATAATGTTTGCAGTTGCGATCAAAGCGATTGAGTCATTAGGGCGAACTCAAAAAAGGTAAGGGTATGAACTAGTCATGTGTCATATAAATATTATAAGAGCATAAAAAACTAGCTCGATGACTAAGCATCTTAACTGAGGACTATTTATGGCTGTATTTAAGTTAAAAATAAATGCAAATATAAAGAAAAAATTTAATAAATATTATAACTAAAATAGACAGCTAACCAGAGTCGAATTTATTTTCAATATGATAGAAATCTTAGCTAAAATATTTCTATCTTTTTTTCTATAATAAATTGGCAAAGCTCACATAAGAACAAAACTTTCTATCAGACTTTTATAATAATATAATATAATAATTGTATTCTATAGGCAATACTCAAGATATAATTGAATAGCTTTAAGTGCACCCCAGATAATTCTTAGCTGATGTTCGCTTCCTATGGCTAAGGCCTCGGTCTTTGCATGTGAGTCAGTTACGAAGCTAACCTAAACTCTCAATTGGCATTAAAAGTCGAGTTTCTGTAGGCCGCAACTGACAGAAACAATTTTAAAATGACATTTCATTAAAATTCTTTCTGCTGTGCTTTCTTTTTCTTTTTCTTTCGATTTTGTTTTTGTTTTTGTTTTTCATTTTTGCTTGTATATTTATTGATTTTCACCTGCAATTGAAGGCAAAGTTTCTCGTGTGTGTCCTTTGTTCACACTGCACGTCCTGGCCTGGCCTGGCCTGAGGTCGTGCCAGCTGCCCTGAAAACTCGACTACACAAGGCAACAACAGACAACAGACTACACTAAAAATGTCTACTAAATAGGCCCAGCAATATTATTAATAATTTAGAACATGCCGCCCATGTCAGTTTAGACGTACACTCAGACAGGCAGCCAGACAGCCAGCCAGCCAGCCTGGCAGACAGACGGACAGCCGCTTGGCTCATGCTAATACCCTGGTCTAGTTTTCTTGGAAGTATTGCCCATGTAAATCCCATTTACCAGCCGAAGCCGTAGCAAGTTCTACGCGTCGCCTGTGCAAGTGTTTGTTCAGCTAATTGCTGTTGCTTTTTTATTCATGTGTGTAACCAAAAATCAAACATAATTTTTATAGAGCAGAAAAATAAACCTAATGAGTCGTTAATATCAAATTTACCAAGTGAGCTTCGAAATAAAAATATTTAATTAATTTAAATTAGTATTATATAATACTTTATTATATTTATATTGAAATACTTATATTTATATATTTATATATTTATATATTTATATATTTATATATTTATATATTTATATATTTATATATTTATATATTTATATATTTATATATTTATATATTTATATATTTATATATTTATATATTTATATATTTATATATTTATATATTTATATATTTATATATTTATATATTTATATATTTATATATTTATATATTTATATATTTATATATTTATATATTTATATATTTATATATTTATATATTTATATATTTATATATTTATATATTTATATATTTATATATTTATATATTTATATATTTATATATTTATATATTTATATATTTATATATTTATACATTTATATATTTATATACTTATATTTATTATTCATGCCAGCTTAAATTTGATGTTTCTTATAGAAAAAAGACAGCTTAGTTTTCACTGGTTCTACACACACACATGCACACACATACACGCTCAGCTGTGTTTTTCCGGGCAAATTTATGGCTCATAATAAGCGCTACTCATGGAATTTTGTATATTGCATTGTTGAGGTTCGCCTGGTCGTATATTTTGTTTATCGTTTCGGACATGCAAAGTCGAGAGGTCCAGTTCGGACCAGGTCTGCGGCGGGGCTAACTATTGGCCACAATTTGTATAATCAGCTGTTAAATTATGTGCAAATTGTGTGCAGTTGGTGTCCACAAGAATTGCGATTGTCATAAAAAGAAGAAGCGCACAACGTGCCACACCGGTTGTTGCTGTTTTCGTTGTTGTTGTTGTTGTCATGTGGAAAAGCCGCACAAGGTCAAACGGACGCATGTTTTTATTTACATACGCTGCGCGTGTGCCCGTGCGCCTGAGGCTATGCAGCAGAAAACTATAACTGATGCAGATGCTGCAGCAACAAACCACACAGTCGCCAGTGGCACTTGCCACATGCTCATGCCCCATATTAATGTACGCATTGGAGTGCAACATTTTCAATTTTCAACACACACATTAATTAGCACGTGATATATTTCGTTTTTATCGCGATGCAACTTCGACATTTTTCATACAAAATTATTTTCCTTAGCCCAGCTCTGCCCGGGCAGAAAATTAGCATACTCTATATATCAAAATGTATATGGCAAAAATATTGCTGGCCGGCGCCTTCAAGTATGCGAAGTTTTGCTCACTTTTTCTGCTAGCCTACAACCAAGCACCCTTCCTCCAGCTCCCTTCAGCACGGAAGTTGATTATTATCGCTTGTTATTAACAACGCCAACAGCAACAATAACGACAACAACAGCAACATCAACAGCAACAAACACGGGCTGGGCATAATAAGCCAAGAGCCGGCCTGCATTTCTTGCCACATCATGCCAAGGCGCGTGGGTGGGCACCGGGGCGGGGCGGGGCAGATTTTTTTCATGATGTCAAAGTACTGGGTCGAAATTTTCCGATTCTAGTTGCGACTTGGCAAACTTGCTGCGTTGCTGCCACTGAAATGGAGCCTGTGTAATTTGTCAATGATATGAGTTTGTGTGTGTGACTTTGTGTGTGTGTGTGTGTGTGTATACTCAAAGAGTTGCCTATTGCGCTGAGTGTGCCTCAATCGAAAGCAAAAGTCTGTACAAAAAGGACAGGCAAGTCTTAAAAGTGAACTGCATTATTTTAACACACTTAAACTTTGACTAGAGAATTTTGCAAAATTTTGCTGTTATTTAAACATATGAAAATCAGGATTTTGTTAATTATTAAATATTTTTTATTGCAACCGAAACAAAGGGAAACAGGGAGAATAAATAAATATTAAATTTAAATAAATAAATAAAATAACAAAAAATAATAAAATAAATAAATAAATATCCATTAAAAAGTTAATGAATAATTTCAAATTTCAAAAGTCAACATTAAATTGCAAAGCAATCAAAAGTAAACCGATGAGAACAAATAAATAATAAACAAAATTAAAGAAATGAACTAAATAAATAGATTTCAAAATTAAATACTTGTAAACTTTTAGGAAATTGTCAAACCTTTGTTCAAAGTTCAAGACAAGAGAAGTTCTTCCAATAGTTAATTTAACATATGAAAAATGTATTTGTTTGTGTTAATTGTTGTCAGAAGTTGTTATGGAAATTAACTCGGGTTTTTTAAAAAATAAAATATAAATTCAATAAATACATTTATAATTAAGATCAGATTACTAAAAACAAAGTTAAATTTGTACACACTTTGAAAAACACAAAGTTATTTTTTGATTATAATTATTTTGTGTTGTCACACATTGCAAAATTTTCCTTCGAAATAGAAGACAATAGTAGTTTTTTTTTAGAAGTTTAAGGTGTACAAACTTTCAATTAATATTGAAGAAAATTTATATGAAAAATGCTTTACGTGTTACGTTTTTATTGTTTGTTATTGATGTTAAGTGATTTTTTTTTTGTGTGTGTATTAAAAAAAAGTCTTTTAAATACCCTATATTTCATTAATTGATTATTTATTTAATTTTTTATTTATCTATTTATTTATTATTTAATAAACTTATTTATTTAATATTTTATTTATTATTTTATTCAGCTAGTGCTCTTTAATTTATTGTAGTTTAAGAATTTCTGGCTGATCTTTGCTTCCACAAGTAAATATATAAAATTGATTCTGTCCGAGCGAACTAGTCTATAAAACCTTTTAAATAGCCAGCTTATTGCAAAGTTTAAGACACTTAACCATATGGCTTATAATTTTGTTTATTTATATTTATTTATATTTCACTCGAACATTTTTAATTGCTTTGCATCAATTTTGCTAACCTGGCCCCAGAGTATATTTAACTTTTGTTCCCAAAATTGAATAGAAGGCAATTGTTGGATAAGGCACAAATTTAGCCCTCATCTTGTTTATGAAAGTGTCTAGCAATATTTTCAGGACAATGAACCGTGTAAATTAAAAATGCAATTATATGAAACAAAAACGAACTTCATGCACTAAACTTTAAGGCAGGAAGCTAGTTTGGAGCGTGAATCGAACTGCTGGCAATTTCGTTTGGCTTTGCAAATATGAATATTATAATATTCTGCCACATTTCGTGTATAGCAAACAGCACAGACCATATACCCTATTATTATGAAACTGATTGCGTATCCGGAATGGGCTTGTTTTTGTAATTGAATTATGCATGGTTCATGTTGGTCTGAACGATGCGATTATTTGAAATCGCATTTGCTTTGCACGCCCGCATCCCGCATAGCAGGCTGAGGTGAGTGGCACCTGGCTCCACTCGGCCGCACTCCCCGCGCGACACACCCCTCAAAATCCAATACGATCGCAATCAACTCGATAGCGAGTGGCAACAATAAAATGCAGACAAAGTTTTATGTAAAATGCAAATGACACGAGAAGTGGCAGAGGCCAAAAAAACACATGTGCTCCCAAATGTCCAAAGTTGGGGCCAAAACAAAAATCTATCAAGCGCTGGGCAGCCCGAAAGTAGACTTGCAACAAATGTTGTAATAATGTGGCAAGCACATTTAGCTACATATGTATGTATCTGTTATTAAACTGTTTTGTGTTTGTGTGTAGTCTAGTGTAGATATGTTGTTAGCCATTTGCCGGCTTCGTTAGCGAGTGCGGTTTATGGATATCAATGAACTTTAAATTGCACCCAACATGAAATATGCAATTGCAATTGTGCACGCCTAAAACCATGCAACACACGTGGCATGTGGCAAGGGGCACTGGCAATAAACAGCAGAGCGCCAGACACATTTATAGGCAAATTTCATATTTCATATATACGCACACATACACAAATATATAAACATCAAAAACACGCGCGAATGTGACTATTGACCGTCTCCAGTCTTTTGCGTGTGCCTGTGTGTGTATGTGTGTGTGTGTGTGTGTGAGTGGTGGGTGTGGCAGGCGGCACTGTAAGCACTGGCATAAATAACATGGCTTTAGTTTTTCATCTTGCTTTTCTTTTTAAATATAATTACACTTAACACGCAGCCGAAACATTCGCTAACTAAATTGCCAACAAGCGGCGAAAAACGCGCGCGTTTTCTGCTGATGCGCGTCTAAACACGCGAGCGAAACGCTTGTTAGTAGCGTGTTTCAACTGGCGCTTGTTTCTTTGCTTTTTTTTTTTGTTTCTATTGTTGTTGTTCTGCATTTATGCAACTTGTTGTTAATTACTTATTAATTATGGCAGCGATTTGCACATTTTCATTGTGAATTTTCTTTGAGAGCGCTTTTTATACATCAGCGGTGATTTTGATTTCGAGCGTTTTGTTAGCGTTTTATTAGGCGCATTCTGACGGCGTTTTATAACACATTTTCTTTTGCTTGTCTTGATCAGCAGCAACAGTTTGGGCAACACTCGACTTAGCACGATTTTCGGCAGCTTCTCGCGTCTGCAGCAAATAACACAACCGCTCGCCACGAACGTTGTCGTTGGACTGAAACTGGCGGCCACAGCGAATGCCGCACGAAGCAGCGCGCCAGCGAGCCGAAGACATGTGCATGGGACACAGCAAATCGTTGTCCTCCGTTGCTGGCGCTGCTTGGCTGTCGGCTTGCTTGACGGTCGGGTGTTTGTGGGTGGGGTGGGCATGGCATTTACCGGTGGCAGTTGCGTCGCGAACGAATCAGACAACTGTGATTTTTGTTGTTGCTGGCCACATTTTATTTGGCTTTTTGTTGGTGGGCGCTCGTTTCACGTCTTCTTTTTTCTAACTTTTGGTTTTATTTGTAATACGAGAGTGTGTGCGTGCGTGCGCGCGTGTGTGTGTGTGTGTATGAGACAATGCTGGCGCGCTGCCCAATGGGGGGTGGCTGTTGAAACTCACCACAGTTGAACGAGAATTGAATTGAATGCCGCTCTTGTGGGAAATTTGCTCTGCATACTTTACGTGAGCGCGGCTTTTCGTGAATTTATGAATGAATTTCTGTCTGTATGGCGCTTGTAAAACAGTTACATGTGAGTATTGTAATGTTGTTGTTGTTTCCGTTGTTGTTGGCGAGTGCGTGTTAAGCAGAAATTGATTGTCATTGGTCATGGCATTGGCTGGCAACACTGCTGCTGAAACTAGCAACAAGAGTTGCAAATGTGATAAATAAGACCCGCTGTTGTTTATAAATATATATAGAGTTGAGTCCTTCAAACTAACTACGTTACTTGAGCAAAAAATCAACGCTTAACAACGGCACACCGAAGCCTAAATACCCTTGTACACGTGTGGCCTTGAGGTGCTTTTATAATTATTTATTTTTCGATTGCATTTTTCTGTAGCAGCTATTTAATATAAAAGTTCAATTTGGTAACGTTCTCTAAAAATATTAGGCGTAAGGTGAGAAAGAAAAGAAAGGATTTCGACATAAAAACCAGATTTATAGAGCTTTAGTGGGCAGCTGTCTGGTAGTAGAAAGCAATTAAATATTTGAATTAATTATTATTTTCAATCGTTGTCAAAAACCTCAATTAATATTTTTCATCATATTAAACGGGTTCTTTACTTTCCTACATATATTATGACAATAATTACAAAATGAAACAAATAAATGTAATAACAATAAATAAAGCATCGATACTGTTCTAATCAAACTTTAAACATTTATTTTTCCTTCTTAACATTATTTTGAGCACAAAAAAAAAATATGTTTCTGTTTTATTTAAAGTTAATTTATAATGGAATTTTTTGAACATTTTTAATTGTACATAACAATAGAACACTTTGCCTCAAATCTCGTTAAACAATTTTCAATATTGGCGCCAATAAGTATGCTATTATTTTCTTAGCTCGCACTTTTAATTAATTTCATGCCCAGCTGAAGGCATTCACGACATAAAAAACAAACTCTAAGCGTTACGTTGGGCACACACAAACACACACACTCGCACTTGGTAGACGCTTTTCAATAACGGTATCAGATTGTGTCAGGCACCGCTTGGCTGAGTTGGAGTTACCTGTATACCCCCCCCACGCCCCTTGCTCGGCGCCTTATTTGCCAACTTAATTGCGCACATATATCAGTTTTAGTTGCTTGAGGCGGGCGGCTAATCAAACCGCCCACGCCGCACCCCTCGCCCCCATGGTTAGCCTATCATTTTCACACAACACACGCACAGGGCCAATAAATAATGGAAAACAAAAACCCAAAAAGAAAAACAAGTAGGAAAAAAAAAACAAAAGACTGCAGCGTAAAAATTATTGTTATGAAGCGAAAATGTTGAAAAGGATATCCGCGTCCGGCGACGTCGTCGCCGTCGTCGTCGTCCTCATCCTCATCATGGGAACTGCTTCTGTCCTGCGCCCGCCCGGCCCCACCTGCTGCTCCATTCAACTTTGCATTGCGTGCCAATGCACTTGCGCCACAAATCATTTTTGGGCTGCACGTCCTGGGGGGCAAAGGGTTAGCCTGCCTGGCAGGACACCGACGCCGGCTACCCTACCTACCCCGACCTAGCCCCGCACAGCACTTGTTTTCAAGTTTCTTTCGCTTCCTTGGCAACTTTTTGTGTTGCTTCCCATTTTAAGTTGTTGTTTTGGTCCCGTTTTCGGGCAGACTAATATAAATTTTGACACCTGATAATTGCTTTTCACTCGCTTCCGCGTTCTGCGACGACGACAGCTGCACCACACCCTCCCCACTCCCCACTCCCCACCCTTCGAGCCTATACACCCGATTTGCCGCCTTGTAATTGTGGATGAACATGCAAAGTTCTCTGCCTGATCCGGGATGTGTGCAGGATAGATAGGATAGGGCGAGCTACTGCTCCAATAAATTATAACTAAATTTTCATTTCTGCATTTTTACGATGCGACGCGTTTAATAGACAAAGTTAGCCGGAGAATTATAGGCGCAACCTTGATGGCATTTGGCCCACAAAAGGGAAATTGGCAATTAAAAGTGCATAAAACAAGATAATTATACGAAATGATGTCAGCTAAGCGAAACCCATTAACACAAGTGAAATGTCCTGATTTGGCAACGGGACAATTAACTAACACGAAAAAAAGGCCGACGCGAAAGGATTTATTCGCAAAGAAACTTGTGCTATATTATGGTGTCTACACAGGAACTTATAGATATTCCATCATTTTGCCTAGCTCATATATCTATTTTTCTTTATAATCTTTTATGGGTTATCAAATATCGATAAAACAAATGTCTCAGCCCGTTAAAATATATTAAGGACAATCAGTGCAGGCTTCAATTTGTAATTATCCCTTGTATTCTTCCAAAATTCCCAAAGCTCTCTCTTTATTTATTTAAAACGTGATTTTTTGTTGGGCGGACTAAGCGCGAAGTTTAAGGATCTAACCCCCGAAAAACAAATATTTTCTTTTTAATTTAAATTAATTTATTTAGACAAGACCGAGTAGTTTTTTTGCTGTTAAACATTAGACTCGGGCAAAGCCGGGCTATTTTTTCTAATGCAAGAAATAATTTAAATAAAAAAATTAATTTATTTTATTTAAATCAATTCATTTAGGTGAGTCAATATAAAGTTGTATTTCTTTTACCTTAGACCTGGGCGTGTGGATTTAAATTTGACTCGGCCGGCAAAAGGGTGGAAAAATGTTTGAAAATGTTTTAAGATTTAAAGCAAAGAACTTGTCACGGCCAAAGCCGGTTAAGCACGCTCTCTCTCTTTTTCTCTTTTAGAGGCATTTTACTCTCCCACTGCACCCCAGAGAGTCAGCCCCGCCGATTCGACAAGTCGAGCTGAATTAGTTGGAGCTTCGATCAGTTATAATATAGTCATCTCTTACGGCATTAGCTCTATTTGTGTGTAATATTTGGGCACACTGGCAGCCTAAGAGGTCGATTTAGCACGCTCTCTCTCTTTCTCTCTTTTAGAGGCAAGCTGATATTATTTTACTCTTCCATTACACCAGAAAGAGTCAGCCCCACCGATTCGACAAGTCGAGCTGAATTAGTTGGAGCTTCGATCAGTTATAATAATAATAATATATGGGCACACTGGCATCCTAAGAGTTCGATTTAGCATGCTCTCTCTCTTTCTCTCTTTCAGAGGCAAGTTGCTATTTTTTTTTTTGCTCTCCCACTACACCAGAAAGAGTCAGCCCCACCGATTCGACAAGTCGAGCTGAATTAGTAGGAGCTACGATCAGTTATAATATTGTCATTTGTGTGTAGTATATGGGCACACTGGCAGCTTAAGAGTTCGGCTTAGCTCTTTCTCTCTCTAAGGCGAGCTCTCCTACTACACAAATACCCAAACTCGATTCGACAAATCGAGCTGTTTCAAGTGAAACTTCGATCAGTTGTAAAATTGTCGCCTTGCGCAACGGTTGCTATAATAATGGATTTATTTCTGTCAATTTGCGTTTTGCTTTGTTTATTTCTGCACATAATCGTCAAGTTTTTAAAGTGGATCGGTCATGATTTACGTTTTATTTATGGTCTGCTCATGTGCTGCTTGAGTCCATGTTTTTGGCTATGCAAAAAACTGTGCCAAATGCTGCGGAATTTATTTGACTTAGTTCTGGAGTAAATCGTGCGAGTTCTCAATATACAAAAATTATTTGATTAAAAGTGCAAGATATTTCAAATAATTGTTAAATTATTGTCGTTTTTTTTAAATGTATTTTACAAATGAATAAGAATAAAAGTTAAGAATTATAAGTATTGTGTCACGATTTCTTTTTAATTATGTAAGTATGTCATTAATTTGGTCTTATTTAATTTCTATAAAGTATTTATCCAAAAAGTATTTATTTAAAAAAGTGCCAGCTAATCATGATCTTGGCCGGAATATTATATAGTTTAGTAAGTTTTTCTGCATATGAATCGCTCTACACATTCCAATTTTTCTTGAACTCAGCAATTTCTCGAGAACTTTTTTAAAGCGCCTAAATCTAATTAGTTTGAGCAAGAAAGATTTCTTACAATTTACAATCCTTACGAAATACGATAAAAATTGTAATATACGTTTAGATATATAACTTGCAATCTTGTGTCTTTACAGAGAATTCCTATCTTTATATTTATTTATTCTAGCCTGTATTATTCGGCTTAGTTCGGGTCAAGTTTTGAACCTCAAATTATTAGTAAACATTTCTACTAGGCCCCACATAAATTTTATTTAATTTAATTTTTAAAAATTAGTTTTATGTCATCTGGTTAAAAAACACATATGAACACTATATCACCTACTTTATGCTCCCGTTATGGACTTTCTTAAAACGATAATTTCTATTATTTTTAGTATATATGATACAGTGCGAGTAGATTCTCTACAATCGGGCAAGCCTTGAGGCCGCACCCTTTGATCTAGAATGAATTTTAACAAAGATCTTTATATATTTGTTTATTAAACAAACAGTTTCATATGAATGTATTCCATCCAACTTCTGTGGGTGAAATACTCATCAACTCTGTCCTAGAACAATTATTGCAAGAAATAAGTCAACCTAGCTCTTAGGATTTGAGCTGTGCGTAAATCATCAATCAGTCAAATAGTCAGTAAGTCAATCAGTATATATGTATATATATATTATTCATCTGCCTATCAATCCCCAATTGAGATTTTATTTCATCGCCCAAGCTGAGCAGAGACCTTTCTGCTTTGCCTGTCCCTGATTAATGTCACCCTCACATTATTTCAGGCTGCCTGCGTATGTGCAACAGTATCGTTGGGTCTCTCTCTCTCTCTCCTCCCCCCCCCCCCCCCCCCTCTCTCTGCCCTCGCACTTCCCCAATCGAAACCCTGTTTCACAGTTTCCGTAACTAATCGCTAAAATCAGCAAATGCGAAGCTAAAGCTTGCAGCCTGCCTTTGTTGCCAGCCTGAACACGCAGTCATAAATTTAATATGACACCTACAAGAGTTTCCATGCATCAAGGTTCTCTCATTTTCCAACTCTCTCTCTCTCTCTCTCTCTCTGACTCCCACTCTGTCTCGCTTGTGAGCTGCGTGACGCAGTGTTGCCAACTGCCGATTCAGAAAAGTAGCCAAGTCCAATGTGCAAAAATAGCTAAAATAGATGTAGCTTTTTTAACATAAGCAGGCAATTGTGATTAAGATGAAGGAAAAATAGCTAAATCAGTTTTAAATTTAAGTTGTTTCCGGCTGACGAAAACAGTCTAACTAAGTTAGAAATTGGCTGAATGGGTACTACGGGTTGCTAGTGCTGGTTTTTCAGCTGCAAAAAATAGCTAAATTTGTTTAAAAATTTTATTGGGCAACACTGGTATGCCAAAAATATAACAGAAAATAACTTAATTATTATACAACTAAAAAATAGCTGAATTAACAACACTGGCGTTTAGTACTTGTCATTTAAATAGCTAAATAAGCCTTAATTGCGGTTGTTTCCGTCTAACAAGCTTTGAATATATCCAAATTTAGCTAAAAATTAGCTGTTTTCTATTATGTCCTTCATATGCCAAAAATTGGCTTAATTAATTTCAAATTTTAACTAGCCGAATGAAGCTGCGAAATGGCTAAATGGACAGCACAAGTTGCTATTGCTTGTTTTTAAACTGCAAAAAAACTTAAATCTGTTTTTAATTTCAGCTGTTTCCGGCTGAAAAGTTCTAATAGCAGCTGAATGCGCAACACTGGTTACTAGTAATTGTCATTAAGATGCCAAAAATAGCTACATTTGTTGGGCTAGTGTTGCCTAGTATGAGCGAGTATTCTATAAAAATACCAGAAAATAGCTAAAATATTATATAATTATAACAAGCAAAAGCTAGAAAATAGCTGAATGGGCAACACTAGTGTTCAGTAGTTGTCATTCACAAGCCAGAAAGCAGCTAAATTTGTTTTATATTTTAACCTGCCAAATTTTGCTGAAAATAATAAACTTAATAGTGGCCCCTACCCATCCTTGAATGGCCAGAAAATAGCTAAAATATTATCAAATTTTAACAAGCCATATTTAGCTGTAAAAACCAGATTGGGCAACACTTGTGGCTAGTAATTGTCAATAACATGCCAGAAAAGAGCTTCATTTGCTTACAATTTTAACTAGCCAAACTTAGCTAGAAAATAGCTAAGCGCGCAACACTGGCTGCATCACATCAAGTGCATTCATTATTCACACATATTCTGCTAATTAGCAAAATATTGTAAATGTTTGGATTTATGTGAGCGACACACACACGCATACAGTCAAGCACACACACTCACACACACACTCATACACACACACACGCACACTGGAACCAATAGCTGCAGGTAGAAGCAGTGCATCAAGTGTGTTGCCGCACGGGTTTTTGGTCAGCTCACATGCTCACATGTCTGTGCGTGTGTGTGCGTGTGTGAGCGTGTGTGGGTGTCATTTGTGTGATTTAGTGCCCGGAGGTGTCAGTGTCGGTTGACGCTGACTGAGCAGCTGCTGCTTCTGCTGCTGCTGCTGCTGCTGCTGCTGCTGCTGGGGCAGCTGCTTTGCGGCGTCTATAAATTTTGGTTTGCCTTTCAATCGACCGCCAAAAGGCTTCAATCTGATTGAATTTTCTGCTCACATTTCGCATGGCAGTTTTTGGTTTCAATTTCTCCGCACTCGACTCGTACGCAGAATTTGTTTATTCAGCATTATTTAGCTTGAGTTTTGTTGTTGTTTTTATTGAATTTATTTACATTCGTCGCGACTGTTAGTCTGAAGTCGATCCACACGCAGTCGGACACCCTCGCCGGGCACCAGCAGAAGGTTTCTGTTGCTAATGGGCAGCTCGGCGGGTCCGTCGGGCGGCAGGCTGAAGCGGTAGGTGCTCAGCAATGTGATCAGGCCCACCTTCACCTGCATGCGCCCAAAGCGCAGTCCGATGCAGTTGCGCGGCCCGTCGCCAAAGCCGAGGAAGGCCAACGGATGACGCTGTTGGCAGGCGGCCGGCTCGAAGCGTTCCGGTCGAAATTCATGGGGTTCCGGATAGATCTCCGGATCGTAGTGTATGGCACGCACCGGTATATGCACTTTTATACCGCGCTCCAGCACTATGTGCCCGTCCGACTCGTACCCCTCATCGCTGGGCAGCTTGTAGTCCTCGGAGGGAACGCGTGTCAGCGAGGCCAGAGCCGGGTATTTACGCAGAGTCTCTGTAAGAGATTATTATTCAGATCATGCTGGATAAAAGTTAGGGCAATACGATGAATAGATAGATATAGACTATAATAATTATTTTGAAAGCAAATGACTTCAAATTCACTTCATTTAGAAAGCAAAAGGAAATAATATCCAAAGTAGAAATTCTCAAATCGTATTGCCCGTGCCAAGTTATGTGCGTACATTTAAGCTATAACTTTTTCACCCAACGTCCGCCCGTTGAAAATTCAAATCTACCCGCAATATCTCAAACTCCACGTCTAAGGTTATATTCTACACAGTTAGTTGAAAATAATAGTAATCTCTGTGAGTCGAATTTTCCAGCAGGGTAGCTGAGCATTTTGCGAAATATGTGGGACACGTCTCAAGTAATTTCTCACAAAGAAGCACGGAAATAAATTTGAACACGAAACTTCAACCACCAAATCTTTGACACCCATTCCCATAAAGCAGGGATGGATTTTGCGAACTGGATGAAATACAAAGATCTTTGAGAATGAGTTTGAGGCTGAAAGAAGGTAAACGAATAAGTTTCATATAAACATTTCTCACTATTTTTCCACACTTTCGGGTGGAATTCGAGAAAACCTTCTTAAAATCAGTGAAAACCTAGTAATCAGTAATCAGTCAGTTAATCAGTCAGTCAGTCAGTTAATCAGTCAATCAGTCAGTCAGTCAGTCAGTCAGTCAGTCAGTCAGTCAGTCAGTCAGTCAGTCAGTCAGTCAATCAGTCAGTCAGTCAGTCAGTTAGTTAATCAGTCAGCCAGTCAGTCAGTCAGTCAGTCAGTCAGTCAGCCAGTCTGTCAGTGAGTCAATCAGTCAATCAGTTAATCAATCAAGCAGTCAGTCAGCCAGTCAGTCAGTCAGTCAGTCAGTGAGTCAGTCAGTCAGTCAATCAGTCAGTTGGTCAGTCAGTCAGTCAATCAGTCAGTCAGTCAGTCAGTCATTTAATGAGTCAGTCAGTCAGTCGCTTAATCAGTCAGTCAGTCAGTCAGTTAGTTAATCAGTCAATCAGTCAGGGCAAACAGTTTGATATAAAGACATATAGATATAGCCGATCCGGCCAACTCTTGCTAAGAAATTGGTTTCCGTGAAGGCAGACTGAGGCACGAGAGGCACACAGACTTATCCATATCCACCCGGCTTCTGATTCCGATAAAGGGGAGATGTATGTAGTATAGATTCAGATAAGTCTGCTTCTTCTGAACGCTTTCAGACTTTGAGTCTAATTATTGGCTCAGCTTGTCGGCCCTTTAACAAGTATTTATAGTGTGAACTTTGTTTGTCTAAAAAAACTTCTTTGTTTTGTTTACTTTGTCGAGATTATTTTGTTTGCTTTCAGCGCCGACAGACTTGTTCTGGGGCTGACTTCGACAGTTCGTTAAGCAAATATATTTGGCTGATTCAAACTTTTAGTTTCTGTCCAGATGTATCTAGAATGTTTGTTATCTAAAACGCTTATCAATTGCCAGGCGAGCGACTACTGCTGCTTATCTATTGTCCCAGTTTCGAGTTCAATCTGAGCACTAACCGTTTATCACTTGGTCCAAGTACGGCATCTCCATCATGGCCTCGTAGGTTAGTTTTCCATGTGCTTGCAGCACGCTGCGAATTTCCTTTCTGAGCTTTTGCTGTACCAATTGATTTTTGGCCAGCTCGAAGAGCGCATAGCTCATGTTGCTGGAGCTGGTTTCAAAGCCGGCGATAAAGAAAACGAAAACCTGCGCAGCCAGCTGCTCCACGGACAAGCCCATCTTCTGGTCCGTGCGGCGCAGATCGAGCAGCAGATCCATGAAATCATTGCGCCTAATTTTCTCGCGTTCCCGCAGCTCAACTGTGTCGCGGACGAGGCGCAGAAAGAATTCCGTGTACTCCTCGTCGAAGGTGCGCGTCTTGATGTGCAGCTTCAGCAGAAGTTTCATGTGGTTCACCTTGAACAGATTCCAGCGCACATTGCGCTTGTGATTGGCAAAGAGCTTGCGTGCCAGCACCCGGAACTGAGCCTGCGGATCCTTGAGGCTGTTGCACTCAATGCCAAAGGCGCAGCTGCCAATGACATCCACCGTGTAGCGGCCCAGCAGATCGTGCAGCTCCAAGGTGCTGCCTGCCTGTGCTACCTCCTGCTCGAAGGTCTCCTCCAGCTGCTGGGCCACTCCCATTATTGTGCCGAACATGTACTTGATCTTGCCGCTGGTGAATGTGGGCGACAGCTTTGTGCGCAGCGCCCGCCACTCCTCGCCGTGCAGATTGAACAGATGACCGGCCAGCGGATTCTGCGGCAGATTCAGCGGCGTATTCGAGCGATCCACGAACTTATTAAAGTCCTTGATGAGTATGGCCTTCACCAGATCCAGATCGGTCACCACGGCCATGGGCCGTATAAACAGATAGGTGCCAGCCACGCGGGTTTTGCCCTTGAACGCGTCGTAGGTCTCCTGCAGCAGCTCGCTCAGATGCACGGACTTCAGCTTGAAGAAGTGGCCAAGCAGAAAATGCGGACGCAGCTGCCGCACACCCTGCAGCTCCCAATAGTTGTAGCAGTGCCGCAAATAGCCCAGCAAAATAGTGAGCAGCGAGGTCAACAAGATCAGCGTGAAGTCCATTGTCGAATGTCAGCTGAAACTGAAACTGAAATTGAAACTTTAACTGAAACTGAAACTGCAGATGCTGCCGCAGATCTACGACTGACTGACTGGCCGCTGTCTGATATACTTATACGCGCTGATAACAAGTAGACTCTAGACTCTAGACCTAGACTCGTCTTAATACTTTATCATTTGCTTGACTAAATGATAATGCTTTTGGGCTCTGAAAGTGGGTAGCATTTGGTTCTTCTGGCAATTTGATACACTTGCTACATGGTTAAAATGGGGAAAAGTGCATTTTTGCAGTTAAAGACTGTAAATACCGAAGCTATTTAAGAATGCATTTGGGAGGAACAAGAAGAAGACGTACAAAGAAAGGAGCCTGCGGCTTGTAATTTGTGTATGTATGTTTAAAACGAAGTTTGAAGCCGACTGCAAATACTCTCGACTGGAACACTGAATTTCGTATTCTTTGTATTTTTCTTTTTCTTTTCCTTTTATTGCAAGTGTGCTGTAAAAAGATTCTCGTTTAAATCACATTCTGTCTTTCTTTCAATCTGTCAATGATTTTTATGGAGATATCGAATGGTTAACAAATATAGATATATATTTATTTAACACATTATTGTTTTGGATTAAAAATAACATATATTTTAATGGCAAGACATTTAGCTTAAATGCTGCTAGGCCCTGGTTGGAGATTGGGTTTTCCAGGCCTTATCTCGAAAATATATTTGATTTCATGATTTTAAGACCTATTTAAATATATGATAAAATTCGTAACTGAAATGGTTTTTTTTTTTACTGTACATTTGCTGCAACTCTGTGAGGGTATTTAAAGTTCGGTACACCAAAATAATTTCTGCAGGCCTGTTTTCATTGGCTTTATCTACTTCCAATGGGCTTGCAGCAATGCAATTGACGTCACAATATGCAAATATTTAGCATATTTGCGTGCATTTATATAAAGATCAATTAACAAGTTATTTAAATATATACAAACATAATATATTTAATTGTTTAATTTTTCTGTAAACACGAATTCACACTTTTACTTTTGACACACGAGTCTTTGGAGATAGACAGAAAGTTGCTTAGCTGATTTGCAGCACACTTTCAGATAGCAACTATTATCTTTAAACATATATATCTTGGCACAATCCAAAAGTCTGAACCAGTCATTAATGCCTCACACTCTGAGTCAGCGCAGAATAAGTGTTAGTTGGGTACAATTAAAAAACATTTGAGCTTAAGCAAACAAATTGCAAGCATTTGTGTCGCCAACAGCTCGGTAAACATTGAATTTCGCACTGATTACTGGGAAACTAGACGTTAGAAATGTTAAATATTATGCAAATATGTTTTTTACAATTTCTATATGTACACGAAAATATATATTCCTGTAGGCTGCCTTGTAGAGCGAATTATAATTTTGAAGGAGACATCTGAAACCCAATTAATAATATACATAATCAAGATCAGCATCAACAGCCGAGTTTATATAACCATGTCCATCTGTCTGTCTGTTTCTATGCGAACTACTCTCCCATTTGAAACCTTTGAATTTAACTGAATACTTAAAACTGAATCAGAATTCGATTTCGTAGGTTATATTCAAATGTAAATAATAATATTATATGAGCGTGTGTAGCTAACTGAATCAACTGTGGAAATGTGTTTCGTATCAGTTTTTATTTATTTTCAATGATTTGTGTGAAAATTTACTTGATTCGTTTTTCGAAAAATTTACCACTCTTGGTCGAAAAATGAGTGTCATAGGTTTATTGAGCGAAAGCTTACTTTTCGGCTTCAAGCTTCTCACCACAAGACTAACATGGGCGCATACCGTTCATTCGAACTTTTTTTTCTTCATTTAACCTTAAACATAGAAAAAGTTATATTTAAAATGTTAAGAGCAATATTTGATCCGCTATATATAATAATAAATTCGTATTAAATTGACTTTGCCTGATATTCAATTTCATTTTAATTCCCCTATATTTATTCTTAAATTATTGATAAACAATTATTTAAACCTTAATAATATTTGAATATATTTTTAACATTGATTTAAACTTGATTTTCATGCATTTGAAAATTTAAATTTTAATGGCGGCTTTTCTTCTTCTTGCCAGAATTTAACATTACCGTTAACTGTTATTTTTAACAGTTGCGAAAAAGCTTTAAAGCTTCCAATGCTCAAAAGCTAACTTAATCTAAGCTGCAGCCGTGGTGAAATTTACGCTGAAAGCTTTGGGAAATTTTCAAAGCTTTCGTAATACTCACCACACTGTCATCAATTCCATTTAAAATTTCCTTTATTTTCCTTCGGTTTTATAACTGAAAATATATTTAAAATTATAAACTTTTATTTTCTTTGGTTAAAATTTGTGAGTGGGACACAAGCATAATAATATTATGTGCAGATTAAAATGCAACAAATGAATTATTACAGATAAATAAAATATAGTTCAAAAACCATGAAAATCAATGGAAATGGAAACACATCGTAAAATAAACTGAATTTGTGTTTTCATTGAAATTTCTTCCAACAAATTAACACGCCAGACAAATAAGTAATTAAAAAAATAAATTCAGTTGAACATCATTAAACGGAGCAGCGACAGGCATATGTGTATATGCATTTATATATATTTGACTACAATGCAAATTGACTTTCTCAATTACACGATTAAATAACAAACATTTTGTCATAAATCGACAGGTGTGCAGTGAACAGCCTAGAGGACAGCTCGGCTCAGTTGACACCTCAATAAATTGTAAATTAATTGTGCATGTTGTTTGGCATGGAGTAAGCCTTAAAAAGTGCTGCCTGCCTTTGAGCCCAAAATCGAAACTTTGCCAAACGCTTTTCACACACAGTTTTCGCCCAATCGGTTGTCCGCGTTTTTGCCTTTGTGTGTGTGTGTGTGGCTGTGTGTGTATGTCTGTGTGTGTGTGGCCTTTGTCGGCGCTTGGTTTGGTGCCGAGAATTTCGCTCTCCATTCTGGACATGCGGCACATGCTCTTATTAACTTGCCTTTTGTGTGGACTGCCGCGGGTAAGGGTTAAAAGGTGGCGAAGGGGTAAAAGGCACAGGCGATTGCATAATCCCACACATGCCAATTTTTTCTTCTTCTATTTTTTTGCCATTTGCGGGGCAACGCGTGTGAAAATGCAGCCAAATTGCCGCGGTAGCGATTTTTACGACCCGCAGCGCAACTCGATCAAAGGGGTATATTAACTGAGGGGTCAGCATGCGCTAACTGCAACAGCTGAATTTCACTGTGAACTTTCTCTAGGTTAAAAATTTTCTATTAATTACTTCGTTTAAAAATCTCAATAAAAATAAACCAAAAATTCCCATTGCTTGTCATAAACAAACCCTGAAATTATTTTCTTTGAAGTTCGTTAAGGCCAAATTTAAATATATTATTTATTATATATTAAAAATATCCTGAGCTAACTGCCAGACCTTGGTTTATATTGCACCATCTACCAAAAAAAAAAACTTTAAACTTTATAATCAACTTTTCCGAATAAGGAAATTTAATTTTAATATAATTACAAAATATTCCAGAAATGAACAAAAATTAATTTTCTTGAATCGAAAAATGCCAACTTAATATTTATATAACCCAAAGTCCATTATATATCTCGCATTTCAACCGTCAGCATCATGAATTGTTTGTATTATACAACAATAGTTTAGTTTACAGGGTATCCTCTAGTTGACTGGCTTTTTTGCCAGCTTATTTGGGTTGTGGGTCCTCGTATACCCTTGAGCAAAAACTAGCCACGTCGGACGTGCTTTTAATTGCCCGCTCGTGAGTTTATGAGGGCAGCAGCAGACATTTAATTTATTTTAATAATTATATACTTTTTTTTGTTATTAAATTTCGTAGTAGTTAGCTCTGCGTTTTTTAAATTAAATTATAAACTCGCTGGCGTTACGCATTTTTTTTTCGTTTGCTACCGACTTCATAATGAAACATTTTGCCATGTGGGCCGATGGCGTAAAAAATTGATGGCAAACGTAAACAAACTTTTTGCGTGGGCAAGGGGCAAAAGGGCAAAGGGCAAAGGTACCGGAATTCTGCAGTTGGGCACACATTTTGTGGTTCATAACATTTTGTTCACTTGCGGGCATATCTAAAAGGCGGATTTCAAATTAGGTGTAGTCCATGGGCGGCAGTCAGCACAAATTGTGCTGCGAGTGAAATAGATAATAGATATAGGTTGATAGATAGATGAATGGATAGAAAGATAGGTGTAAATATAGATAGATCTATGTAGATATAGATATATAGACTGAAAGATAGATAGACAGATCAATAGATTCATCGATAGATAGATCGATATAAGATCTATCGATAGATTGATAGGGCGATAGATTGATAAATCGGTAGATAGATAGGTAGATAGACATATAGATAGATAAAAAAAACATAGATAAATAAATAGATAGATAGATCGATAAATAGATAGATAAATAGAAAGATAGATAGATAGAAATAGATTTTCACTTATTTTTCACAAATCGATTATTGTGAATTTGCGATTCTTGATTTATTATTGATTTCGATTGTGATCTAAAGCAACAGCTGATTCATAATCTATTTATTTATAATTGATTTAAATTATTCTGCAAATGAAATAAATTTTGTTTATATAATTCTAAAGGAAGGTCAACAATTAAATTGTTAAATTGTATTCTTTGTTGCTGCTCGACAAACTGTGCTTAGTTTCCGTTTGGCCTTTGAGCCGATTGAATTGCGACCCTTGTGTGTCACTCAAAGCTCAAGGCGGGTTGCTGGTTCAATTTGTCAATTACTTAACTGATTTGTAGTCCTGAACGATTATTGTTACTATAACGATTATTTGTTTGCATGAATTGAAAGCTAGCAAATTAAAAATGTGTCCTTGCTCTTTTTATTCAAAATGCACTTTAAATTATTTAAGACGGCATTTTTATTTGTTTCTTTTTAAATGAAAATTACAATATATATACGTATATTTATATTTATATATATAAACAATGTTGCGGTGCACGTAAAAGAAGCT